GTCACCAAGGAAAAGTGAACTTATAGTCGGCATCCTCAGTTTAGAAGAAAGTGTGAAAGAGTTGGAAAGACTTTCAAGTGAAAAACGCTCGAGTAAAAAGATTCTAAAGGCAAGGTGAAGACAGTGTTGGTCAGATGAGAGATACGGTTCCCAGCAGCCCCTCTTACGGCAACTTCTCCCACAGATTTCCTTGCACGTGTGCTCAATGGTGTATGTGCAATGTCATCCACTTGTAATTGCCAAAGTCTGGAAACCACAAGATTGTTCATCAAATCCAGGACTTGTTCAGTACATGGGGGCAAAGCCCTACGTGGAATCCAGGACAGGTGTGAAACAGAAGTAGGAAGTCAGAAAGCTCTATGTGTTGACAAGGAAACATCTCTCAGATCCAGTGCTTAGTCAAAAAAGGAAGGCTCGAAAGTACAGCATGCTGCTTTGGGGGTAGAAGTTAAAAGGGAAACATTTCAAAATATGTGTTTCTGCTTGTATTTCCATAAAATGTGGGGACCTGCAAGGAGAGGAGTGAGTTGAGTGAATGTGGGTAGAAAAAAATACAAAGGCTTTTGCAGAGAATCCCTTTTTATACTGCTTTTGATTTTCTGAATCATGTGAATATTACTGATTTGAAATTTTTAAAGAACAAATGGCCTGGCCAGCATGGCTCAGCAGTAGAGCATCGGACCTAGGATCCAAGAGACTGCGGTGGGATTCCCGGTCAGGGCACATGCCCCAGGTGCGGGCTCAATCCCCAGTGGGGGGCATGCAGGAGGCAGCTGATCAATGACTCTCTCATCACTGATGTTTCTCTCTCTCTCTCTCCCTTCTTCTCTCTGAAATCAATAAAGACATATTAAAATAAATAAGAACAAATGATTCGGAGAGTGGGGTAAGCAGGAGCAGTTGAGTCCATACTTACCTAGAAATTTTCTTTCCACCCCAGCACAGTGAGTCCAGATAACAGGAGTTCCCTGTATTTGCATATTGTTGGTATCTCCCTCAGCATTTTCCAAGCATTGAGTTTTGGAGGTCACTGTCAACCCAGCCCCAATATGAGTTTGGCATCCTGCTGTCCTTCATTTTATTATTATTATTATTTTTTTTTAGAAATATATCTTTATTGTTGAAAGTATTACAGATGTAATACTTTTTTCCCCCATGGATCCCCTCCACCCTGCACCCGATCCCCCAGGCCTGTGTCCATGCCCTTCGTTTTAGAAGATGAGTCTGCTAGGGGTGACCCAGGAGAGTCGGAAGCCTGTCCTCCAGGGCCGAGGCTGTGGTTGCTCTCTTGTGCAACAGGCAGGACACAGATTCATGACTCTCTGGCCTTGAGAATGCGGGGCACTCAGAGTCAGATCAAGAGTATGTGTGTGGGGAGACAGCTGGGCTCACCGATCGCCAGAATCCAGGGGCGGGAGCGAATGGGACACTACTTATCACCCGCCCACCCCTCCTTCTTCATTCCAGGCCCAAACACCAGACCAGCATGTCTCCAACTGAGTAAAAAATGGGAACGTGGGATAATGCCACATGTGAGGGATGTTAGGAAACCCACACACAGCACACCACGGATGTCCTTAATTTGGTTTATGAAATGCAATTTCTGTGGAATCCTTTGTGTGTTAAGGGGAAAAAAAGACCCACTTAATTAGAAATTGGGAAAACTAGTTCCCAGCTAGAATCTGCAGCCATCTGGCAGTAGACGCCCTTGCAGGTCACTGAACTTCTCTGCCTTCCGTGTCTGAAACAGTGATCATGAGCGGCCTGACCGAGCTCCCAGAGGTTAAGTAAGAACACAAGAGGCTTGAAAAAGCACAGACATCACTTCGAAGTCAACCGAAAGCATGTTTATTACCTGCATGGCTTACATTTTCTTTCTTTTTAACCTGGAAAGGTTGTCGGCAAGTATAATTTGGTTCCTCTGAAAGAAGTTAGGTTGGCTTTTCTGGCATATGGGGGTCAGGCGGGGAGCAGGCCCGGGGGAACTTTAAATCCGCGGTAGAATCTTGCTTTATGTTTGTCCATTTCCCAATCCTTTCTTCTGAGAAACAACTTTCGCCCACCATCAGCCTGGTAGCTGGGGCAGGTGCTGACCCCTTTCTTCTCCAGAGGTGGACATGAGACCCAAGCCAGCTGATCACAGGCAACGAGTTTCAACCCACTGGCTATTGTTGGAAATACTGAGAAGTCCTCCTCTCCACTGGACAGGTCCTGGCCTGGGGTTCCCAGGAGCCTGCCTGAGAATGATACTGACAGAGGGAAAAGCAGAGCTGACCAGAGAGAATAAAGGGAGTCCTGGTGGCACTTTTGAATCCAGCCATCCCTAGAGCCAGCTCCATCCCTGTACCTCTGCTACTTGAATGAATAGATGCCCCTCTTCCTCTGAGGAACTTGGTTATATTTCAACTCTGAGAGTCTTGACTGATGCGAATTCCTGAAACTAATGTTCAAGAATCTCTACAAAGGTGCCAGGTGCGTACTGGAATGACTGGAGAGATCCCTTCGTAAGTTATATAACTGTCCAACCACGATGCTGTACATCTGAAACTAATATAAAATAATATTGAATGCCAACTGCAATTAAAAAAAAAACAAAACACACCCGGCCAGTGTGGCTCGGGATCCAGGAGATCACGGTTCGATTCCCGGTCAGGCCACAGGCCCGGGTTGCGGGCTCAATCCCTAGTGGGGGGCGTGCAGGAGGCAGCCGATCAATGACTTTCTCATCATTGCTGTTTCTATCTCTCTCTCCCTCTTCCTTCTTCTCTCAAATCAACAAAGACATATTTTTAAAAAATAAAAAAGCACAATAAAATAATAAAATGAATCTCTACAAAGATGAACCATTGTGCTCACATGCAAAGCTATATGAATTAAGAAAACATAAGGTTTAAACTAAACCTTTATAAAACCCAGTAGAGCTAGAATTGTTTCCCTGATAAATACACATCATCGTTGTACCCAGAGGCAACGTAATATAATTTAACAGAGACACAAAGCACTAAAAGAAATACTTCATTTTATTTTACTCTTTCAGCCACGAGGTCCAAGAAAATGCAAGTTCTTGGAAATGAGAAATAATACCCAAGTGTGGATCGGACCAGCTATAGAGGTTGTATGAAATCAGCACGGATTGTCTGGAGCGAGACTGGCCTTCTCAGGTGGCCGGGCCAGGCAAAGAGAGTTGTCACAGGACGGTGAGGCCCGAAGAGGAAAATGTTTACAGCACACAAAGCAACAGTGGACAACTACCGGTTCTTCACTCAACTAGTGAATCGGAGCTCATCTCAACAGGCAGCACTACAAATATCCCCAGCCATTCCTTTACTTGTTCACGCATTCGTTCATGCACTCAGTGAGCATTTATTAAGCACCTGCTGTGTAGCAGGAGGTACCCGCTTAAATGCTGGAGTTACAAAGATAAAGGTTAAGGCACGTACTGTGCCCTCAAGGAGCTCCCAGTGCACTCCCGGGGAGAGGTGGAAAGGAGAGGCCGTGCATGACAGGCGCTGGCATCTGGTCCCAGGGAGACCAACCAGGGCTCCTTCGCCCACAGCTCCGGGAACGGTGGTCGGCGTCCCTCCTCCCGCTCAGAACGGCAGCGCTCCACGCCGCTCGGTCAGCCTTGCAGGTCCAGCGCGACGGGGGACCCGTCGCAACAAGTCACAAGAGACCCGGAAATGGCTATCGGGTTCCCACTGCTGAGCACTTAGGGGACACAGTTTGTCATCGCAGAGGAGGCTGAACAGTGCTGGGCCTCACTCTGCACTCACCCCACAAGCGGTCCATGGAGGAGCCACCGTGGGCGCGCTCCCATCTCCTCAGCGCCGCCGGGTGGGCTGCTCTGCCCTGGGCACCTGCCCTCACGGTTTCCACCCACTCGGCCAGAGGGGGGTTCGCACGGGGAGAGCCCGGGAAGGGCTGTTCCTCCTCTTTAACTTTCAGGTGCAATCAGCCTTCACGTTGCAAGAAGCACTTCCGCTGGGACGACTTGCTTTTCATTTGTCATTCGTGATTTGGGCAAACAGGCAGAGTTGTAGGTGTCACTTAGCAAAGGCCCTGACTCACCTTCTGTTCTTCGTGGTGGGCAAACACCCAGCCACAGGCCTTAAAGGAGCCGCAGATAACCTGCCCCAGGGGCCTCCCCTCTCCTCTCCCTCTGGGCCCTGTGTTCTCTCCAACGTGTTCACGGGCACAGGCTGAACCCCTAGATGTGAGTCTCAGCTTCTGAGTCTGACTGGATATCCACTTATGCCAGTGACAATCCAGGCGGGTTCATAAATGGGCTTGCTAATGATTTTCCTAGGTGGGCTTGGCTGAGGCTTGGCACTAAGTCAAGTCTCCTTCCCGTAATCCTGCTTTCCATGAACGCCTCCGAGGACTTGCTTTCCCTCATGGCTCAGCCTGCAACCTGGGGGTTTCCTGTTTGCTGCTCGCCTCCACGTCACTCTGTTGCTGGGAGGTTTGTGATTTCCAGCCCGCCTTGCCGAATCCATCCCACCTAAAATTATGCCCACTACGGACTGCCCATCAGCGGCAAAGGGAAAACCTCCGGCTCCTGTGAGCAGGGCGGCTGAGCAGGGTAGAAGTTCAAAGCTGAGGTGGGCACGTTTACCTAGAGTTCATGTGTAGGGAGGCATTAAGGCTTTTTAATAAAAGCGTTTTGCTGCCCAGCCGGTGTGGCTCAGTGGTTGAGCATTGACCTAGGATCCAGGAGATCATGGTTAGATTCCTGGTCAGGGCACATGCCCGGGTTGAGGGCTTGATCCCCGGTTGGGGGGCGTGCAGGAGGCAGCCGATCAATGACTCTCTCATCACTAATGTTTCTATCTCTCTCTCTCTCCCTCTCCCTTCCTCCCTCTGAAATCAATAAAGATGTATATATATTTTTAAAAAGCATTTTGCTAATTTAGTTCATCTAAAAGTCAGAGTCCCATAGTTAGAGTTAATATATTAACTAAATCTTGATAATCACTATAAATGGAATTGTACAAACACCCTCAAGATATAAAATTATCGTTTATTCTCAAAATATCCCGATTTTACATGTTAATAAATTCCTCATTTAGTATATTTCCAGAAATCACTCACACACAAATAAATGACAAAACAGAATCTGTAGAAAAATAAGAGCTCTCCATTTTCCGTAATACCTTATCTTTTATGTAATGAATTTGTGAATATAAAAAAGTGTCAGTTTAGAAAAGTATAAAAACATTGCTACATCATAAGTGCTCTACATTCGCTAGGAAAACATACCTTTGGAAACAGTACAACTATAGGGAACTCTTAGTGGAATTCAAGTCCTGGGCGTGCCACAGATGCCTGCCTGCGGCGGGCCGGCGTTCAAACCCTGCCTGTCCCCCGGGCCGCTTCTAGAAACTGTCTGCGACTTCCAACGAGTAAGATATTGTTCGTCTTTCTTCAAATGTCATTATTGAGTTCTGTGGATATCCTTAGGGTGACGCTCTAGCAAAAAAAAAAAAAAAAAAAAAA